CATTTCAAAAGACCACTTCGACCAACCTTCCTTCCCTTGTTAGTACCCAACCGCTGGCAACATTTGGACTCCAGTTGCTCCATTCGGTCATTTTGTATAAGGCATTCATCATCAAAATCAAAAATTTGCGCAGATTCGTAGCTCACTTCTGCATCTATATATTACCAAGATGAGTGCACTTCATTCAAAAAAAGGGTAGTTATGATAGTTGCAAACGTCAAATGCCAACCTAATAAATATGTTTGCGATCAGAATTGATTGTTATATGTTATATCTGCAAAAATAAAAAGTTCCACCACATCAGATCATTCACCGATATTTGTGAATGTTTCCATTATACTCTGCTGCTCCTTCATTATATAGATTTTCATCATCGTATCCGTTTGAACTTCCTGGATTCACAAGCTGCCAACCTGCTCTTCTTGCCAAATTCCTTCACTACATCCAATGGAGGAAGCAATTCGACGTAGTAAATCATTTGACATGTCCACTAATAGAAGGGCACCTCTTTTGCTGTATATACCTCTCACCTCTTACCTTTTACTTCTTGCCACGAGACCGTAAAGGTTATGTAAGCATGGTCTGTTGTGATACAATTACTTTCATCGCACAGATGTTAGTTGAGTTAATTTGTTCTTGTTTATGCGGAAGTCGTTTGTCTTAATAAATTTTCTAGGCTAGTGTATACATCAGCAGACATTTTTACTACGGCGACAACATCCGCATAGGGTAAAGCATAGCCTACAGTAACAAACAACCTCAAGATGCTGAACTCGGAATCACAAAGCTCGAAAGATTAGAGGTAATGCATTGCACAGAGACTTACCCATGATATGGTCACGATTAGCATAGATGGAATGACGATGTTCATGGCATAGAAACCCATGTTTCGGATTAGAAGAACTTCGAAGTAGAGGCGAACATATTCTCCTGAAATTGAAAAATCGAAGATTGACTGGAGATTCTTAAATGACAGAGGTGCTAACCTGAAGATGTGACGGCTTTGGTAATGTTCACATTATAGCCCGTCTGTTTGAATTGTGGCAACATGAAATTGTCGAACCTCACTGCTTTTCGCCTAGGATCTGACTTCTTTTGTCCCCAGAAATAGTCGATGTCGGCCGTGGTGTAACCGTCTGAATCTCGACTGTACCGTCGTAAAAAGGTCCTAATTACAGTACTGTAGCAGTTAGTTAGCAATGAATCAGTTACAGTTACACCAGGTCTATTGGACAATGAATATAGTGTGTACCGTGTTAAGCAAGTGCACTAGCAATGGTGGGTGAGAACACTTGCAAGTTTCAATTGTAAGGATTTATTGGAATGTTTCTAAGAGATGCGTTAGTCGGTAATAAAATGAAAATGTTCAGAAATCCGTGTTGAGCACAGCGTCGTAGTGGCTGATCCTGATAAAATAGCTCCAGTAGATGACGTTGAATAAGACGAAGATCTGCGATTGAAAAATTTTCAGGGCAGGAGATAAGAATTAGTTTGGCCTCACCGTTGGGAAAATCCACCTGGACATTTTATCGATATTCGATGGGCGAATGCATCTCCAAGAAAGCCAGGATGCACTGCGATATGATCGTAGTGTCACGACCGATGATACCCCGGTGATTCGGCTAAACATTTCTGTATATTTGATGTGGAAAAACACAAAACATGGGATGGCGTACCCAGGAGTTCCGTTCGGGAGGGGG